ACTGAATTATTAGTTATCTATCAGAGACTCTGGAAAAAGGGATTCCTATATCACAGGGGATTTGACTAAATGACCTCTGAAATCCCTTACAATTCCAAGATACTAGGATTCTATAGATGCTCTACTCTAGCCATCCAGAATTTGTATTTATATAAATAATGTATACATGTGTATGTATATGTATATTTGAAAATATAATTCAATTTGACTCAACAAACACTTATTAACTATGTGCCAGATGCTAATTCAAAGACAAAAACAAATCATTCCCTGACTTCAAGGAGCTTACATGCCACTGAGTATTATGAAATAACAGTTTTATCTTCCCTATTAAATTATAAACTCCTTATAGAATTAGCAGCAATACCTGGCACAACTTTGTATCAGGCACAGCACATTAAACGAGAAGAAAAAAACTATATATAAGTACATGATAAAAATACCAATTACGGGTTTTATAAACTTTATGGGGAAAAGTTCTATATTAAGTCAGTATTTTATGAAATAAAGTTCAATATTTATTCATTGGAATACTTCCATTGTTAAGTCACAGCAATCTTTCAAGTGTCCCATAAGACTCTATTCAGGGCCCTTTTTTCTTTTCTCCCTTAGTGATTTCATTGATTTCTATGCATTTAATTAAATAGCGCCCAAACATACACAAACACAATTTTAAGAAAAAACTGCACAAAGACTTTGGGGACATTGTATGCATGTTTCGGCCACAACTCTCAAAGACAGTTGTACGAAGTTCTAAAGGCGTCACAGTCTACATTAGAAGAACAATACCAACACCAAAGAAATATTTGTTTTTTGACATTTAAAATCTTACATGATTGTCTACAGGAACTCTTTAATCTTTTGAAAAAGGACTTTGATTCTAGCAGAAGTGTTACTTCATCAGAAATAAGTCAATAAATAATGGACAGAAGACAATACTTATCTCAAAACAAGGCCAAAAATGTTTAATTTCTGCATCATTATGCTCCTGGTGTTCTCACTAAGTCAGTTTATACTGCTAGTACAAAACTGGAATATGTAAACTATGCAGAAAATACAGACTCTAACATAAAGGAAGAAATTACATTTACTTCCTTTTCCTGCCCTGCTACAAATATAATATGACTGAATGGAAAGACTGGATTGTGAATCAGGAGGGTTAGGCCGTAGGCCTGCTTCTGCCACTATCTGTATGACACTGGGCAAGTCACTTAAACTTCTCGCTTATTTCCTTATCTATAACATGAGGGAGTTGGACTGAAAGAAGGTATCTGAGGCCTTTACAATGCCATGAAGTAGTAGGTGCTTCATAAACGTTATGTTCAATCCAACTCTACCTTAATGATTCTATGCCACAGAAACAGAGAATCTTGGAGTTGGAAGGGACTTTAGAACTCATCTAGTTTAAATACGGGAGCTAATAAGTCCAATGAACTCTACTCTTATCGACCACATGTAGAATATGAATTCCTTAACTGAGGCATGAATTTCCTCTAACATACTTTTGTTAAGTGGGAACTCATTACGTTTCAAAGCAGCCCATTCCATTTTTTGACAGCTTTACTATTAAAAAGGTGTTGTTTTTTTTTTTTCTCTCATGGTAAGCAAAACCCTGAAACTTCCTCCCACTGTGCATAGGTCTTCCTAAGGCCAAGCAGGACATTATTCCATCTCCCAAAGACAGTGATTATATTTCCCCTAAGTCCTCTCTTCCCAGGCTAAACATCCCCATTTGCTACGGGCATTCCTCAGATAAGAGAATTTCAACTCCTTCCCCACCACTCTCACTATCCCCGTGACCTTCCTTATACATGAATTACTTTGACAATGTCATTAAAATGTAGAACCTAGAGCTGATCACAAAACTTTAGATGTGACATGACCAAGGCAGACTGCAAGGCAAATGTCACTTTCTCCTCGACAACACTCTTCTACGAATGCAATCTGAGATCACATTAGTGTTTCTGGCTGCCATGAAACAACTTGGCCTCATGCTGTTTGCAATACCACTCAAATCCCTGAGGTCTTTTTCATATGAACCCCTGCCTAGCCATGGTTTCCTCATCCTATGTATCTTTAACAGTTTGTTCAGCTGAAAATTTTTTTAACCCCAGTTACATTTATCTCTATTTTATTTTATTAAATTTAGCTCTGATTAAATTTGCGTGTCATCACTGAAGCTAGGATTCTTTCACATCCCAAGTCAATTTTAGACAGTCCTCCTAGGTTTTTATCTTCTCAAAATTTGAAAGCATGCCATCTATATCTTGAAGCCTGAAGAAAATGCTTTCCCCAGAATATCTGGGGAATAGTTGAAAAGAGTTAAAACACTTCAGAGATATTCAGCAGGTAAATATATTTTTTCTGAGTTTCTAATTAGTTATATTTAGAAGGTTAGGGCTGGAAAGGTCAGACTCTAGAGATCCTCTTGTCCAACCCTTTCATTTACAGGTGAGAGACCTTATAAGGCTCTCCGTGGTTAAATGACTTACCCAAAATCACAAAGGTAGTAGATGCCAGGGTTGGACTTTGTACCCAGGTCTCCTGACTCCTAGAGTCTAGTGTCCTTACATCTATAAAAGGCTGGCTATACATCACAAAGAGAAGGAAGTACTTTTATGTTTGATGTTAAAATAATAATTAATGCAAAATTAAATCATGCCATGTTTTAATTTAAGCTAGTCACTTTTTACATCTAAAATATGGAAATTCCACTAGACATCCAATTGTCTGATTGTACATAGTTTCAAATCCTGCATCAGAAATTAATTTTAAAAATTCATCTTAAATGTATTAAGTGAACCATTTTTAAGACTTGGCAATAAAATGTGAACTGAAAACTGAAATTTTTAATATTTCAGGATGTACTGATATGGTGACCAAATTTAAAGTAATGCTTTTCTCTTGGAAGGAAGGGACAGGTAGGTGGCACAGCAGACAGAGCACTGGGTTTGGAATCAGGAAAACTCAACTTCAAGAGTTCAACTCTGGCCTCAGACACTTACTTAGCTGCGTGACCCTGGGCAAGTCACTTAACCCTATTTGCCTCAGCTTCCTCATCTGTAAAATAAGCTGGAGAAGGAAACAGCAAACCACTCCAGTATCTTTGCCAAAACAAAAAACAAACAAACAAACAAACAAACAAAAAAAAAAAACCGGGTCATTGAGGGTTGGACAAGACTGAAGAATAACTTGGAAGAAAATTAAGGCATTGCTCAAAATTACCAATGGTAAAAATTACTTTGAACTCAACAATCAACGAATTAAGAATCCCACCTAGCCAAATTCACATCAGAAACCAAAGTCATTATCTAGTACAATGAACATTTTATCAATAGTTTATCATATAATAGCAGCAGATGACAGAAATATAAATGACAACTATAAGACACCTATCAGAATGAATGATACCCAAAATGCAGCTTTGAAACACCAAATTTTAAAAGTACCTTTTCAAAATCAAGTACTGTTAAGGATTGCTTGTTGATATACTAAATCAACTATTCAAAACACAATTAAGAAAACGTTAATTTTTATTTTCCACTGAAACACGGAAACCATTTATTGCAGTGTGAAGGGTGAAACCTTGAAGGTGGAGCAGCCTATAAAGTAGGCAGGGACCCAAGCCAAGCGGGTTCAGTTCAGGTCAGTTACCTCAACCTAAACTTAAAAAAAAAAGACAAACATACCTAAAGCCATACCAAGTGCAATGACTTTTTTCCACCCCCAAAACACACTTCCCTCTCTTGAATCCCTCCCCCTTTCACCTGGAGGAAAGACTTGTGTAATATGAGAGTCACAGAAAGCAAGTCTTATTTTTATCTTCAGTCCCATTCACTGAGCAAACAAGGGTTAGTTTTGCTGTTGACACCAGACAAACACACGAACCTCCCCCCCTCCCCCGCTCCCCTGACATCTGTCAAACCCTGGTGGTTCCACCACCCCCTTCGGCCTTCGCGACTTCGACAGAGGCTCTCCCCAGGGACCCGGGGAGCTAACAACGCGCCCCAGAAGCACCACCCGTCCTCTCAGCACCAGTTCGACTCCAGGCTGCTCCCGGGGACTCTGGGCAAAACCGTGCCGGGTCCAAATTTCAAACAATTAACAAATCCCGGGTGGAAGTCCAACCCGATGGACTCAGGGGCCCATCATCTCTCACGCTCAGCAGGCGATCCAGCCATCCCCTCAACCCCTCCTCCCTCCAACGCTTGGGCAAAGGGAAGTAACTAGCCACAGCACGGAGCAAGCCGGGCACCTGCCAAGGTCGGGGGGTGGCAGGCCCAGTCCCCCCCAAACCACCAACTTGCACCCCCATTCCCTCTTTCCCCACCCCCAAAGCCGGGCATGTCCTCAGCCTCTTTTTGTATCCCCGGGACTTAGCACAGTGGCTGACACACAGTAGGCGTTTAATAAATGTTTATTGAATTGAATTGAACTGAACTGCTCAGGGCCAAGACGGGGAGGGGATGGAGAACAGCCCCTCTCGAAACCTGCCCAAGGCTTACGTCGATTTCCCCGCTTCCCTGAAACACACTCGCGCCAGCCTGCCACAGCTCCCCCATTCCCCAATAATTTCTCTCTGGGGGAGGGACTGTCCCTTTAAGAGGCAGCAAGCGGTCTCCCCTCCCCCATTACAGGTAGAGATGAATTGGAAAGAGAGAGGGGCAGGGTCTGGTGAGTGAATTGGGAACCCTGCACCTTTAAGGTGACAGCAGGAACCTCTGCGGCCCCCCCACCCCCGCTCCAGCTGGGGGCAACTGGAGGGAGAACGGTCGCTGTGCGCCTTTAAGAGAGGCTGCCCTCTCAGTCCCGGCTGGAGGGGGAGCGGGGGGGGGGGGAGGGGTCTGTGCCTTTAAGGGAGACAGACCGTCCGAGGGCGCTCGGCGGCCCGGGGGCACTGTGCCTTTAAGGGCGTCAACGGTCCCTGAGGGCAGCCGGAGCCCAAGCCGGGGCCCAGAGCCTCTCGTCTCCCCGCCGCCGGGCCAGCCGGAGGGACTCACCGTGGGCGGGCGAGCTGCCCGGAGGGCGCGCAGTCCGGGGTCCCAGCTCTCCTCAGTTTTCGCGGCGGCAGCGGCAGCGGCAGCGGCAGCGGCAGCAGCGGCGGTGGCAGAGGAGGAGGCAACTGCGAGCTCCACTCCAGTAAACAGGCACCTCCGTCCCTGACCTACTTTCTGCCTTCCCTAAATGTCGCACCACTAACCTACTTTCCGACCAATCCGCTCCCCGCCGGCCCAGGCCCGGCCCCCAGCCCACCAATCGTAGAGCCCAACCCCCCTTTACTCCTCCCTCCAATGGAGGAGCCAGGAAGCCCGGATACCTGCCTCTCTCCACGAGCCAATCAGAAAGCCCAGAGGGACCCCGGTTCGGCGGCCACCGCTCGCCAATCGCCGCTCGACTCTGTGGGCCAGATTCACCAATCGTTGAGAGTCTAGGGAGGGGCTCTGGCCAATAGAGGGACGTCAAGGAGGCGGGGCAGCAGGAAGGCCGGGCGGTCTACCTGACGCTTCATCCCAACCAATCATCAAATGCACCTAAAGTTCACACCCTGGAGAGCCCTCCAATCAGCGCGGGCTCTTCCTTTTCCATAGGGTTCTTCCCCACCTCACTGCCCCGGTTGTCCGTATTCCTCAGCCAGCGCCGGAGTGAGCACCTGTTGCCTTCCGTGACCCTGCATTGCTCGATGCCGAGTCATTCCAGCTCGACCTCCCAGCTCCTTGGGCTGGCTACGGGGCTGCGGCGTATCCCGACCCGGCGCCCGCAGTTGGAATTGGCCCTCACTCCAAGATCCTCTTCAGTCCGCGGCGCTTTCTCCCTGACCGCCCCGGCAGCTTTCCAGCCCACCGATTCATTTTGTCTCCCGGCAGAGCCTTGGACCCTGGGCGCTTGAGGTTACCGCAGTCGTTGTGCGTGCAGATGAGGAAACTGAGGCACGTAATAGTTAAAGGACCTTCTCAGAGGTCATACATTAAAACTGACGTATAAAACCAGCAAGGTCCTTTTCTAGCTAATTTAGGGTTTGACCGAGCAGTGTCCTCGAAACCACCCAGAGAGGTAGGAAGGGTGAGTCGAGCTAAGTCAACAAGCATTTATTAAGTGCTCTCTTTGTGCCAAGCACTGGTGACGGTGTTGGGGTCTCCTGTTATCCTCTTTCAGGTCCGTATATTTTGAACTGGAAGGAATGTCAGGCCAACCCATTATTTCACAGAGGAGGAATTTCAATTCTCCAGGCATTCATTAGGTACATGTGCAGAACACTGTGCTGGAATCTGAAGCTACAAAGACAAACATTTTTAAAAAAATTCCACTCTTAAGGTTCATTTTGTAGGTTTGACAGGTTGCCACTAGCATACAAACAAAGTATGGTCAAGGCAAATTGAGAAGAAGATACTGACAAGAGGACCAGGAAAAGCGTCGAGGAGGTCATGCCAGACAGAAATCTATGGGGAAGTTAGGGATTTTGAGAGGCAAAGGTGAGAGTACACATTGTGAGGGAGTAGGGGAAAGGGAGTGTCAAGAGAGACTGCCTGACCAAGGCAGGGAGGTGAAAGGTGGAATTAGGGTTTCTGAGAACAGCAAATAGAAAGGGAAAGTGTGTAAAGGGAACTAGGTTGCTAGGGCCAAATTGGAAAGAGTTTTAAATGTCAGGAGGTAGAAGTAGTATTTTATCCTGGAGGCAAAAGGGAGCTAGCTGGTACTAGAGATTCTTAAACAGAGAAGTGATGTGGGAACAGGGAAGGTGATTTTTGATGCTATATGGAAAAATGAATGGAAGAAGGAAACACTGCAAACGGGACTAATTCGGAGGCTTTTGAGGTAGTCCCAACCAAAAGCTGATGAGGGTCTCATCCAAAGGAGCGGCCTGTGTGAAAAGTGAGAAGAGAACAGGAAAACTATTAGGAAGGTAGAACTGACAATACTTGATAACTGATTGGATATGGGGAAGAGAGGAAGGGACTGTTGAAAATGAGGGAAGAAACTGAAAACCTGGGTGCTTAGAAGGATGTTGTCCCCATTAGAAACAGGGAAGTCTGGAGAAATGGGATTAAGGGAGGGGAAGATGAGTTCCATTTTGAGTTGTTTGAGATGCCTAGCAGACATCTAGATGGAGATGTTCAGTAGACTGCTGTTAATATGGAACTAGCTGAGGGATTTGTGTCATGGACCTCTTTAGCAATCTAATGAAGCTTATGGACCCTTAATCACATATTTTAAATGCCTAAAATGAAATTCATAGGATTGCAAAGGAAACCAAGTACATTGAAATAAAATTATCAAACTCCTTTTTTAAAGTTAATGAACCCTAGGTTAAGAAACCCCAGACTACATCAAGAGAGGGATTAGGACTGCATATATAAATTTGAGAACAAACAAGCTGAGGTAGGTTTACTGTTCACCCTATCTCCTTATTCCTGGAATTATTCATTTTTAGACTATAAACTAGATAACAGAACTTCCTGGTACATCTTTTTATCCCCCACAGAGACTGCCTTGCAAGAATTTGGTAGTCAATAAAAGCAGAATGCCTTTTAAGATCAGTCAGTCAACAGCATTCACAGAGCTACTTGCTATCTTGTGTACTCTAGAAGGAGATGAAATAAATAGAAGTATTTGGTCATAAGTAGCTAGCAATTTAATTGGAATCCTAGTGCTTTTATCTTTTGGATCTATTCCAACTTCATCTAAACTTCACACCCCAGTTTTTCCTTTCTTATAACTCTCTTCTCTTTCCTGGTATACCTACTCCTTTCTCCAGGCTCTTTTATTTGTATTCATAATAACAATAGCCATAATTTAAATAGCTCTTTACGCAGTACTTGATTAACCAAATCACCGATAAACTAAATCCTCAGGAACTGAAAGACCTGGAAGATACTGATTACTTGAACCGCTCACTGTCAGTGATATCAGAAAGATCAGAACAGAGGAGGTACCTCAGAACTAGAGGGCACATAAGCATAGCTAGCATTACAGAGTGTTTGACAGATATCATCTCATGTAATCCTCACCACAATCCTAGAAAGTAGGTGTTATTATGATCCCCTTTTTACAGATGTGGAAACTGAGACAGACTTGCCCAGGCTCATAACAGTAAGCCAGATTTGTGCTTAGGTTTTTGTGACCCAACACTCCATCCACTACACTGACTAGCTGCCTGCCTGGGCAAATTTTGTTTCAGGTTTCAAAAATGGGAAGAAAATGGAATCTATGAACGATAGAGGGGTAATCTTGACTTCGATTCTTTGGGAAAGTCTAGAACTATTGAGAATTGCTGTTGTTTTAACCTTATTTTTATTTAGAGAGAGTTGACTTTTGAGTAAAGTAGACCTGGGTTCATGTGGCTCTGCCACGTATTGGTCATTTGACATTAGACAAATCACTTAAACTCTCAGAGCCCCAGGCAAGTCTCTTAAGACTGTAAGTTGCAGACAGGGTGCGGATCTAGTTTGGCAGAGGAAATTCCTTGCCTGGAGCTCCCTACAACAATGAAATGACAGTTGTGATTAAAAAAATTATTGATATCTTTTTTGTTTGTGTGTTTTGTCATTACCCTTATTTCTGAATATATCCCTACTTTATCTACCCATGTAGAGATTTTTTTTTTTTTTTAGCGCTCTCTCCTTGGGGGTCATCTGCTTCCATCCAATGACCCAAAGTCTGATTCTTTCAAATTTATTAAAGACTTAAATATATATAGTTTACTTCTGATGATTTAGTCAAGATGCCTGGGCCTTCTGTGTTTATATCGAAGTAGGGTTGGAACACCTACCCTTCACCATGTAACAAACATTATTGAAAAATGGAAGAGAAAAAGTGGTTCAGTAAAACCAGTTAACTGTCAACCATGTTTTGACAGGATATATAATACTGCAGTCTGTGAACCTGGTTTGCTTTGTGTTTTGTTATTGTTGTTGTTGTTGTTTGGTAATATATTTTGGTAATTGCATTTCAGTATAATTGGTTTTCTTGGTAATTTACTCTGAGAAGGTATCTATAGGCTTCACCAGACTTTCCAAAGGGAGGACCATGACACAAAAAAAGGTTAAGAATCCCTGCTCTAGAATGTATTATTAAAGAAATAGTAGTGAATATTTAAATAAGGAAGTGGTGATCACAGTAACTAGAGTGGCTTTATCCAGAACAGGTTATACCAGACTACCCTAGTATCCTTTATACATTTTTCAAGAATTGAATCCCATCTGGCCTTTATACCAATCCTGTGAGAAAAGCAACATTATCAATGAAACAAAGAACATTTATTAAGCCTTGACCATATGACAGGCATTGTGCTGTTTGTCATAGTGGGTAGAGCATGGCGCCTGGAATCAGGAAGACCTGAATTAAAATCTAGCCTTCCTGGCTGAATGACCCTGAGCGAGTCATTTAACTTATGTCTGCCTCATCTCCCTCATCTGTAAAATGAGGGGGTTGGACTTAGCCTCCACGATCCATTTCAACTCTAAATTTATGATCCTGTATACGTATACAAGTATATACAAGATAATCTGAGGAGGAGGAAGTAGAGAGGCCCCAGGACAGGCTTCACATGGAAGGGAGCTCTTAAGCTGCGTTTGAAGGAAATGGGATCCCAGAATGGAGATGAGAGGTAAAAATACTGTGTGTGAGAAGCAACAGGGTTGCCAGTCTGCCTGGATCCTGGACTAATGTACAGTATGTGGGAGAGATAGGTTGGGGCCCGGTTTTAAAGGGCTTGAGAAGCCAAACTGAAGAGTTTATATTTGATTTGAAAGAGAACAATATGCTGTGGCAGTTTATTGAGTAGTGGAATTGTGTCCAGGAGAGATGCTTGAGGCTGGGAGAGTAGTTAGAAGTCTAGTCTGGGCGAGAGGTGATAAGTTCCTAAACTAGTATTTGGCCTTATGAGTGAGACGAAAGAGACAGGTGTGAGAGATATTGGGGAGGCATAAATGACAAAATATGGCCACTGATTGGATTTATAGATGAGGGAGAGGGAGGAGTTGAGGATAATGCTACGGTTGCAAAACCAGGGTGACTACAAGGATAATGGTGGCCTCTAGAACAGTAAGGAAGTTCATAAGAGAGGTGAGTTTTCGGGGAAAGATAAGTTCTGTTTTGGA